CTTGAGAATTTCTAATAGAAATTCCAATAAAAATTTATAAAGATTTTAAAAATTTAAATATAAATAAATTAAGAAGCAGTACGTCGGTTAACAGAACAATCGATGGAACAGAATACATTTGAAAGTTATTTTAATCGCATAGAAACTTCTATCTCGGAGTTTTCCCGTGTGTCGCATTTAAATATGGTTGAAATTTGCTAAAGCAAAAGCAGACAGGGGATGGATTAATTCGTAAGCCTAAATTTTTACCGACCGGAGATCCATAAAGGCGCATTCGTGAAATTGTCGACATTAATCTCTGCCGCCTACAAACGCGTGCACCGTGAAATCCTTTTAAATGTACAGAGGCAGAATGAAACGTTAATTGAAACGGCTGGTATTGTACAATTAAAAACTAGTTCGATCTCGAGAACGAAATTCGATTTGCGCCTTGTGACTCGCGCCCGATTTTATTCCTGATAAAATCGCAATTCTCCGTCACGTTATCTTCCGTAAAATTAATTGCTAAAAGGAAAAAAAGCACGCAAGATTGTGCACGAATTAAAATCTATTTCCTTTTCTCCTTTTTAAATGGCAGAAAGAAATACATGAATATGACTGAAAAATCATAATTTCTCCTTTTTATAAAATATATACAGGGTGTCTTAAAGAAACGTATACACACTTTAATGTAAGTAAATAAACTAATAAGAATATTTACTTAACACAACAACAGTACAATATAAATTATAACTAAATCTCGTAAAATAAATTCGCTTCTAACTGTGATATAATCTCTCGAGGACTCTTTCACACACAACGTCTATTTGTAATGACTGTCATTCACCTACTGATTGTTTTCTCACGACTCTCTGTCATACTCACATTCTCCCACACAAACATTCCTCACACTCATACCACATATTCTATGACAACCACTACCACGTTTAATACCTTATTCTTTCTAATATATTTTTTCTCTTCTAGGTACAACCCATTTAAAATAATGGCTGATTTTAGACTAGACTTTGAAATACGTAAATATATTTTAAAGTGCTACCATAAGAGCTGCCATAATGAAAACATACTGGAAGTAATCCATTTAAATATATACTGTTTTTATAATCACACAAAGTGTGTATACATTTTTTTGGGATACCCTGTATATGTATACGTATATGTATAACATAATAATCACATAATATACGTATATAACATGTATATGACATAATTAATAAATTTCGTAAGGGATTAAACATGCCAAAAAGAACATTCGTAGAATAATTATTCCAAGTTTTGCTTCATAAAAGAAATTTAAAAAATTAATTTCATTTGAAAGGATGAATTTTCATTTTGAAATTTTCCTCACACTGGAGACAACAAAAATAATATTTATATTCTACGTGATCTTCAATTTCGTACTCAATATAACTACAAATTTCATTTCGTACATATACGTATATATAATTTCTGTAAATATCTTTATCGTACAATCACCATAAAAATTTCGATAATCTATAATTTGTTATTTATAATTATACTAATATTATTATATTGCTTTCAGGTCCAGAGGGCACCCCGGGTAGAAAAGGACGTGAAATTAAGGCACGTCCTTCAGAATGAAATTTCAAGAAGCTTCTAATCCAGAGACGAGGAATTTTTATTCCACATTATGCCAAAATTGGAAAATTGAAATTCTGTACGGTTCTTCGACTCCCTCTTCTGTTCAAATTTTTACGCTTCGACCAAACGAGGTGTTAAAATTTTTGCGGGCGTAAGTAAGTAGCCGAAGGGTTGCAGATTGCTCATCTTTGTTTCACAGTAGGGGACAAAGTGATAGTATACCCCATAATTTTCACTAGGAGTACGAAATAAAATTCAACAGTATTCTACAGCAGTCCATACTCAGAAGAAATAATTGACTTCAATACTAGATCTATCATGACAGGTCAATTGACAGAGAGTAGAGGAAGAAATAAAATAAGAAAAGGTTTAAGAAAAATGAAATATGGTAAGGTATCGAAAAATTTATCATACCTATACTAACCTTTTACACTCGGCGATCTTTTCGTTACAGGAAAATAGTAATTCGAAGATTTTCTACCATAAAGGTAAATAAGAATGCAAATTAAGTTATTATTATTAAATTCAACACTAGATCTACCATGACAGGCCAATTGACAGAGAGTAGAGGAAGAAATAAAATAAGAAAAGGTTTAAGACAAATGAAATATGGTAAGGTATCGAAAAATTGATTATACCTATACTAACCTTTTACACTCGGCGATCTTTTCGTTACAGGAAAATAGTAATTCGAAGACTTTCTACCATAAAGGTAAATAAGAAGTCGTATGCAAATTAAGACGTAGAATTATTTTACTTCGATATTCCACGCATCGTTGGGTAATTATAAATTTGATATATTAATTAACATCCATTTTTAGAATTTGATTAAATGGCGACTGAGAGGCGCCCTTCAGTCGTCATTTAATAAAATTTCGAAGCTCGATATTCATTAATATATCAAATTCAAGATAATATAACAGTGTGCGAGGTATCGAAATCAAATAATTCTACTAGTTAATTATTATACGATTTTTTTATATTTATTTCTTAACAAAATATCGCCATCTTTATCTTCGAACCCTTACTCTTCTTTAGCCAAAAAATCTTTGAGTACAAAGGAAAAATGAAAGAAAAATCGAAAAATCAACAAGTGACCAAAGTGACACCATTGAACGCGAAATTTTTAATA